TGTCGGTGGCGCAGTGCCGGTCCATGCACTGTCCCCATGAGCATGTGTGCACCCATGAGGAACCCTGATAGCCATGCTAGCCATTAACCAGAGCCACCCCGCAAGGGATGTTGGTCTAGGAGTGTCAAAGGTTAGGCACCCAAAGAGGTCAACCACCATTCCTCAAAGAGTAAGTTAAACTTTTGGTGGTCTGTCTGAAGTTGACATGGGATTTTTTAATAATCTTACAGGCAAAAATGATGATTGTGTCCCTTAACGTAAGTCCATCAAACATAGACAAGGCTAAGCTTGTATTGTGACACTGGCATTCTAGCACAATTTTGATGAGGTGTGCATAGGATTGTATTTGCATTGCATGGGGCAGGCCTTTTCATGAATGATCTATGAGATCAATTAATGCCTCTAGAAATTTTCACTTTCATTGTGAATTTAGGTCCGTACCCAGTCTACCCTCTCAAGACCCCCCCCCCAGCCCCCCAAATAGGTGGGATCAACATTGGTAATGGTTATTTTATTGGGAGTTGGGACCATAGAGACCGCCTTCTTAAGAAGAAATCGAGAAAAATATCTATGCAACACTTTGTTGACAAATTACAGAAAGAAAGCCAAAAAAGAAAAATATCTTTCTTTCTTTTTGGCAAAAGAGACGCAAAAATATATTAAGTATTAAAGGTTACATGTTTAGAAAGTTTGGAGTTAAAGTGCAAAGTAAACTGGCCTTTACAGCATGGTTTTTAAAACCGAACTAGTCAGGGCACCGTTTTCCGGTTCGGCAGTTCAACCGTCTGGGTCGAACGATTTGACCCGTGACGTTATAAATAAATAAGAAAACAAAAAATATTTATATATAATAAAAATACCAAAGAAATTTAAATAAAATATAAAAAATACACAGAAAAATAAAGAAAAAAAAACAACATATGAAAAATAAAATATCTAAATATAAAAATAATAAAATATAGAAAATTTTCCAAAAAAATACAGAAAATTTTCCAAAAAGTATAGAAAAAATTCCAACTATAGTACTTAGACCCTTTGGCCTACCTGAAGCATTTGTGCTAAAAGATCTGTAGTCTAATAACCAAAAACCGAAGGCCCTGACACAAGGCAGCTTGGCCCCATCTCGCTTTGGGATAGTCTAATAATCTATAGTTATGTACAGATCTGTAGTTCCAAAAGATCTGTAGTTCTGAATTTCCAATTAGAAACCAAAGAGATAGGTCTGGCATGGTTGGGCGGTTTGAAAAATTCCATTCTTTCCATTCTAAAATGCTCAGTCAGTAATGGTTATAGAATCGAATGAACTCTTATCTTCCAGCATGAACATCTAGAGATGGGTAGATAAGACTTCCCTACAATTTACATATATGCAAAAAAGATGTTCGAAATTAAGCGTCTATGGAGTCACCAAGTAAAAAATGCATCATTTTTATTCAAACATATTCTGCTTGTAATCTATCAACTTATCGTATGTTGCTCCTAATTATAAAATATTCACTAAAATCCTCTGCCTAGTAGGCCCAAAGCAAAATGATGAACCAAATGAAGAACAAATAGGGGTTGATGAACCAAATGAACGAAAAAATTCAAAAAATCAATTAAATCACAAAAAAAAATACCTTCAGGGATTCGTCGCCGGTGGGCTCGAGCAATCGAACTTGGTCACAGGCAAGTTGCCGCTGTAAGCCTGCAAGTGCTGCTCCAAGAAGTTTGACAGTGGGCTTACTCGCCAATGCCCAATGTCGAGTGCCAAGTGCCGCTGCAAGCTCACCGTCTGCCGCTACATGCTCGTCGTTCGCCGCTGCAAGTGCTGGTGTCTGGTGAATCTTTTCGCTGCTGGACGTCGTTGCAAGTGCTGGGGTAAAGGTGACTCTTTTCACTACTGCAAGCTCGCCGGTCACCGTCGGATGCCGGAGGTGATGGCCGCCGCAGGTGGTAGGGTGCGAGGGTTGAGAGGAGTGAGGAGTGAGGGGGAACTTGGGAAATAACCCTAAAGCTAAAGGGAAAACCGAATAAGGGATTCGAACTGGTTGGGATATACTAGGTACTTTATTTTTTGTTTTTTTTTTATTTAAAACATTAAAAATAAAAATATTAATCCACGAACCGCTGCTCGGGTCGAACGGTTTAGCGGTTTGACCGCTTGGGTCAATGGTTTTCTGACTTTTTCAACGCTTTTAACAAATTCTGATTTTTAGTAAAATCGAACCCGGGTGGTTGAGTGGTTACCGGTTTTTCTGGTCCAGTCCGGTTTTGAAAACCATGCTTTACAAGCTAAGTAAGCAAAAAGATGAGCTGTTTGGTTGAGCTGCCTCAAAATATGTACAAACTTTATAAATACAAAAGAGTATATTAAATGTTGCAGATGTCTTCTATGCAACTGCTCGAACTAGAAAGATACTCGATCAGTGTTTGCTAGCTCTAGTAAAGTTGCATTATTTGTATATACCAAAAGATGAGAGATGCCACTGGAGAGTGCCGTCCGTAGTCCTCCTAGAAGGGCTCGTATTTTGGCATCATAGTTGGTAAGGGCCCAAGAAGGTTTGCCTTCAGTGATGGTAAAATGTTCATGGGAGTGTTGGAGGACGAACCCTCGTCTTGCATTACCTATAGCTGTATCAAAAGAACCATTAGTATATAGAGTGGGAAGGAGAATTTGCCTTGGCTGATCCCGTTGTTGCTGCCTAGGCTGGTTTATTGGGATCTCCACATGATAACTTAACGCTGAGCTTACCACTTGTGTAGGATATTGCATGACATTTTTCAAAAATCTGTTTATTCCTTGCTTTCCATATGAAGTATAAGATGATAGAAAATATCTATGCAACACTTTGTTGACAAATTACAGAAAGAAATACATAATTAGTTGTAACTCTAATCAAGGTTTTTAAAATTGAATTGGACAACAACTCAGTCAGGGGTCTAGTTTCTGGGTTGAACGGTCCGATCGTTCAAATTAAATAGGATGGTCCGTTCTGATAAAAAATAAAAAAATAAAAAATGACCAAACACTTGAATGGTTTAAACGGTTTGACCGCTTGGGTCAGCGGTTTACTGACCAAATCAATAATTTTTGGGAAAATAACAGTTCTGGGGTAAAACGGAACGATTACCTAACTGATTCCCAATTTTTCCTGTCTGACTATCCAGTCTGGTCCAATTTTAAAAACCATGACTATAATAAAGATTCTATGGCCAACATATGAACTAAGGAATTGGCAAATTATAATTGATTAATAACACTTAGGAATCAAATGTCTTGACAAGGGCTCTGAATTGGTTTAGTTTTTCAACATTCCAATTTATAGTCAGTTGCAAATATCCTGGTTCAGTGTGACCTTGGAAAATCTGGTACAGAAAGCCCCTGTAGTTGCAAGTATCCTTGTAGGGTGACTTCACCGGGGAATGAGGGTCCAAATTAAAATGTACAATACTAGATACTAGAGGGGGAAGTGTTTTATCTCACTGTGAAGACCTCCACTGGATCCTTAAACTTGTTGAAAGATTAAATACAAGTGTAGACCTAAGAGTTCCCACTCGGCAATCCTACGGTCCTACCAGAGGTGAGAGGCCTTCACTTTTTCTGCTCCATACAAATGAATCATTGTATGTGAGTATTATTAACAGTAGTTGGGGAATCTTTTCATAGTAGGACATTCCGACCTATGTCACTCATCGGATAATTCATAATGTGCCAGTGCCACCAACGCATTTTCTGAATTCTGACGTAATCAATTCTAAGTAAAATCTGTCGAGATCAGAGTCGATTTCATTTCCCCATGGCCCATATAGTGTATGTAGGACTCCACTATGTGGTAAGTTGATAGGAATAATTGCCGTCAGCTTACCCCACTCTAGATTCCTAGCAGGACAGCGCGGGTGCATTATCATGTTCACGTTGCTCTTGTCCTGGAGTTCCCCTGTCCTGTGGAAATGAGATCCTAAACACGGTTCAAATACGATGAACTGCGCGGTCTGCGCGGGTTCCAATCTCCGGGGAATCCGTCAACAATGATGATGGATGATGGGGGCAGAGGCGCCATATGTTCCTCCTTTACCTTTCCCAATTCCCATGCTAATGCTTAATCTTTTCTTTGTTTAAGAAAAACAAGGAAAAATAAAATTAAAGGTCAAGGGCTCAAAAGCCACCGGTGATCGTAATTTGTAAAATATAAGAATCTATTGAATCTTCTATTCGAATCAAAACTCTGAGCCAAATCCATTTTTTTTAATACTATAAGATAATGATTTCTTCCTGAATTAATTTGTTGACTCGTTTATGTTACTTTCTTCTGTTATAAAAATAAAGGAAAATTTTCTTAAATTACCCTTATGATTTAGTTAATTAATTAATTCTACTCTTATTGTTTGCATATTATTTTATGATACCTTTATTATTTCTGACAATTGTCTAAAATCTCTCCTACCATTAATTTCCTATTATAAATCGTTCACATATAGCATCACTTGATTGATATATTTTTTAAAATCTTTAAAAATACCCATACACTAAGATTCTAAATACAGGCCGATACATCATAAGAAGAATGAACAGCCATAATGATAGAATGAAATAGGGCTTTGGTGATACTTTGATTTAATAAATTATAATTGTCAAAGTGGCAACAACCATAATGATGAATGAAGACAATACACAAGTTCGCGACCTCGACTAGAAAGGACAGAATTCTCGATGACAAACGGTGGAGAGATGGCCAGCCGGGGATCTAGGCAGATTACCTGATGTTACATAGAGGAGGAAAGGAGAAAGTGATTACAGTTTTTCAAATTTTTTATGAGTTTGGGTTTTATTTTAAAAATTTAAAGAATGGTGAAAGGCAAATTTGATATATTTTTTTTTCCATTAGTACTTTAAGATAATGTCAATTGTTAGTGAACTTAGTGATATTTTAAAATAATATATAAATAATAAGAATAAAATTAGTCAATAAGGGTAATTTAAGAAATTTACCAGAAAAATTGGAGCCGCATACAAAAAATTGTCCATCCCCCTTCCATTGGGGAATCATGTTATTGTCAAATTTATTAAAGTTTTTTTAAAAGAAAATAATCAGTGATGAAACAAATCATTATTGATTCTACTGAGAACTGTTTAATCAACAGATGTTTAGCCGTCCGCGCAAACTAGTAGCACCTTTCGTGAAAGCCCCGAGAGAAACAGGATAAAGCGTTCTTCGTCTTATTTTCTCTGCTGGTTCGTGAGATAGAGAGCTGGTATCGTTGCCATATCGCAGAGGCATATTTTATTCTTCTTCGGTCTTCCCCACTCGTTATCGAACTAATGTATTTTTCTATTCAATACAAGTAGGCAAAACACAGGTCCACTTAACAGCTTTCGAGCTCAGGCCTCAGAGAAGTATAAAGGGAGAGAGAAATAGAGAAATTATTATTTCCGATCTATCGATGCACAGCACTCGTTTCACATAATTGTTTTTCAGATCAAATTTCTCCCAAACACCAAGTGGCTTCCAAATAGGCCTTTGGACTCTGGGTGGCCACTGGCCAGCGAGACATCGTTTATAATGACTAATGAGTTTTACGTCTTTTTTGCTCTCTTCCCCCCGCGCGCTTTTCTCTCTCGTGTCGCCTAATGACTGATAAGTCTTACCGCCTTTCGCCTAATGACTAATGACTGATACCGGTTCCGGTTCATTGGTTATAAGTTTTTCCGGTATCAGACTCTTTTTAACCTTCACCTTGACAAATAAAATCCCATGCCAGTCGGTCCCCCCTCAGGTCTCAGCACAAGACACAAGAGAGTGAGCGGGCCGGATCTGCATCATCCGAAGTTCTCGCCTTGAATAAAGGAAAAGTATCACCGATTTTTTTCCTTCTCTTTCTCTCAAAATTCAAAACCTCTCTCTCCTCTCTCTCTTTAAGTTTAACCTTGGGTTGGGGAAAAAGAGAGATCGAGGACGACATCACCTTCATCATCACGATCCATTAAATCCTCTTTCTTTCTTTCATTCTCTCTATAGCTTAAGGCAGAGGGCAGCCCCTACTGGCTCATTTTCACATGTCTGCAAAATCCAACAAAAAACAAAAGCTGGTCAGATATCAGACTAATTACCAAGCAAAGACATGCACGCTACGGAAAAACATAAAATAAACTTAAAATTCACATCGAACAGAGCTTCTCGGATATGGCTACCCAAAAAAAAGAACCAAGGGAGAATGGACAGACTCTGAGAGAGTGACACAGAAAGAAGTAACGGTGTAGGGATGGCTACCGAAAGAAAGAACAAGAAGATGGACGGACTACGAGTGGAATGACAAAGAAATAATGATGTACGTGGCATATAGGACATCGACGCCAAATGGACACCTGCCTTTACAGTTTATTTCATTTGGAATAAACGACGAAGTTTGACGGAACGCAAACGGCAATGGATTTATACGCCAATGCAAAATCATGGTATCAAGGGAGACTTTGAATGAAAGAAGAAAACTCCCGATCAAAATTGGGACTGAAAATGCATTATTGGCCTCGCATCGGAGGCGCTTTTTTTTTAACGAACTACAGTCCGATTACATCAAATAACTTCTTCGGTTTCTTCTTCTTCGTATCCTTCAAATAACTTCTGTGTTCCTTTTTATGTTTTTTTAATCTTGTTTTTTTTTTTTCTTTTAGGTGTTATTGCCAGTGATTTCCATTGTGTACAAGGTAGATATGCCTAGGGTTCCCTTGAGCATGATAGCCATAATAACGGTATTTTCCGGTGGATTTCTCGAAGCAGATGGGATACCCTACCGGTGTGGAGATGTGATTGAAGCATCGATCGGTCGCCATGCCTGGAATAACCGAACGAGTTCCAGAGTACGGGTGGAACGATTTCGATGCTGCCGCAGCATCGGCACTGGAGGTGGTGGAGGAACTCGCCGAAGGAGGTGGTGATATTTTTTTGATGGATTTGGGCGGGGATAAGAACGCCCTGATCTTTAGCTGAGGAGGAGCCGACGACGTCTCCCTGTCTCGACTCATGTTTGCTCTATCGTATTCCTCAATGAGATTGGCGAGATCCTCATCCGAGGTAATCGAAACCAAGGCGTCTAGATCTTCAGTCGGCAACTGACATCTGAGACTCACCGAGGATCCACACAACTCTCCAAGCTTCACCAAAAGTTCTGTATACAAAATATCCAAACATCTCACTCTAAATCCTCCGAAACTGTTTTTGAATTGAACGGAAAATAAATCAATCGAAATTTCTCCTCTTTCTTTTGACATGAAGTAGATCCACTAACAGAGAAGATTTTTTTTTTCTTTGTTTTCAAAAAGAATAAGTGAACAGGATAACTGAACGAACCTGCAAACGGGGTGGAGCGATCAACGGCGAGGACCCTGGTATCTCCACCAACGTAACGGAGCTTTCCGTCAGGATAACGGGGAAGAATCTTGCCACCATAGCTACAGAGAAACTTGACGGTGTTGTTGATGTTGGCTGTTTTGGCGGCGACGTCGTTGGATTGCAGAGAAGTTCCGACCATACTTGTAAAGATTTTAAGCTTGCGAGTCAAGAAATTAGGAGAGAAGGCGAAGAAGAGACTAGAGAGAGAGAGATGCTCGAGCTGCGCCTTCAAGCCTCTCCCAAGCACCCTCTATCCCTTATTTATAGAGAGCTTTCTTGAGTTTCTTCTCTTCCGTCTAGGAGAAAGCATGCGTCTACCAAATTACCATCTCCACACGGAAGGATTAGGCATAATAATAATACTTAGAAGTTAGAAGAGGAAGTGTTATTGGGGTGGCCCACGAGTTCTTAGATCCTGACCGCTCAAATTCTGGCAAGGTAAATTTACATGTTGAGATTTGGGCCCTTCAGTCAGTCCATGATTCATTGATTTGGCAAGGCAAAATGACCAAATTGACCACGGGAGTAAAGGACCATAGTTATCAAATAAATCGTTGAAACACGTTATCATAGTTCAGTTGAGATGTGGCAGCTTCTGCCAGGCCCAACTGCCTTGCCTTCACTCTCTCACTCCTCAACTGGTTGGTTAACTGGTATTAACTAAACCCATAAAAAATGGCGCAGTATGGTATTGGTAACGCCTGAAAGCTGAAGCCCATATTCATATTCTACCCACATTCATATTCTGCCAACCTGATTGTCGTTACTACTTACTGTTAGCACAAAACTACAAAAAAGATAATAAATATAATGAACGAAAAACGGAAAAAAAAGAAGGAAGAAAAGAAAAAAAAAAAGGGTAAAAGGACAGGAAAATGGGTTATATGGTGGATGTTGGGCCCTTGGCCCGGACTGGACTCAGAATCAAGATTTTCGTGTTTATGAAGAAAAGTATTTTTTTTTAAACGGGAAATTGAAAATAGAAAAACAGAAAAAAGTGCAGAGGCAATGCAAAAGGAGTTTTTTTTTTTTTTCCTTTAATTTTTTTGCAAGCAGAACCGACCCTTTGGTTTGGTCGGCTTTGAGAAATACTTACCTGCTTTTTCCGAAGCTGATGGAGATGGACGCATCCATTTCCTCGGGATGTTGACGAGGACGACATATAATATGGTATGTTTTTCTTTTTTGTATTGTTAAATTGCTGACCTAGGAATATTAAAATAGGATGCCTTTTTTTTTTTTTAATTGAAGGAAAAGCAGAAAGGCATTTTCCTGTGTTTCTTCGGATTCCATACATCGGTGATATTGTGACGCAAGGTGCAGGACCATCACCATCCTCGGACCACAGATTTAACCCTTCTTCAACAGATTCATTCAGATTCAGATTGGGGATGAATAAGCCACACTCATCTTCATCATCTTGATAAAATATAGGGAATACAGCGACTCCTAATTTTGGACTGACTCCCTCACTTATCTTCCATCTGTAACCTTTCCCATCACCAGTTCTTATTGGTGAAGGTATACCCACGACCACCAAACTGCCAATTCAAGCATGCCAAGCCATGGTACTGGAGCAAGGTTTAAACAAGGTTTAGTTGAACGATTTAACTGTTCAGCGGGATGTGGAATTAATAATAAGATTTTACGGGTTAAGGTTTAAAATATCGATACTCTTGATATGTTGGTAGGGGTGTATCAGGTGAAACAATAATATTTTTTATTGTTTTTTTTTTTTTAACCGGTTCGGAGAGGGCTAGTTTAAGGCTCCTTCATCCCCTGAATCGGTCAGACCCCGATATACCTATTATAGGAGTGTATTGGAGGAGTCTATATGGGCCAATACATATCAATACTTTGAATCTAAATACAGGCCATAAATTTAATACTGACATAAAACCTTATCATTAATTACACAATCAATTGAACTGAATTCTCCTATTATGAGGCCTGCCTTAAGATCTGTACATAAATCACTTCCCTGCGTTTGTTGCTGATATTTATTTATTTATTTTCATATTTTAGGACCAGCTTGTCCCTCCCCTCCTCCACAAACCCAAAAGACTGAAGCTACAAGCCTACAAATATCAAAGACCACATCATACATGAATAGAGTTTTTATTAATCAATTGCTCCAAGTACACCAGATTTTATGTTTGGGAGAGTGTTCTTCTTAGTTATACTTCACTTGTTTTAGGGAGCATAATGCCCTGACCGAAACCGATTTTGCCTTTTCGGATTGGCTTCTTCTTCTTCTTCTCTTCGTTCAGAAAAGAAATTGGGCTTTTAGACTAAATACTAAAACTGGCCGGGTTTTTTTTTTTTAAATCACTATAACTCATGGTTGGCAATAAAAAAGGGTGCCCTTAAAAAAAGTGATGGTCCAAACTCCAAACAGTAATTGCATGATTCTAGATTTTTCTTTGAACAAAGAACCCTGTCCCACAGTTGAAAATAAATTTTCCCTCCTATTCTGTAATTTACAACAAAAATAAGAAATATAAATCCATTTTTCATTATTTTCTTATGCAAAGTTGGTTTATAAAAAAATAAAACTCTTCCCATTTTCATAAAGCTATTGAGAAACTCTCAAAACTGCCATAAATCATCTAATTCCTTATATATATGGCACAACTGAAATTTATTATTCTTTTGGTATATTTGGTATCAGATGGGTTTGACAGAAGAAATTTGAAAAAGAAGGGTGTTCTTTTACCCATTATTTTGGTCCTGTTGAAGCATGTGCAATAATGTTTGAACCATTATTTTGTAAAAGATTCCTTTTTATGACAATCAAGATTTTTTTTTTTTGAATCTTTTTGCAAAATACTCGTATATCTTTAATACAAAAATGCCAAATTAGACGAACATGCCATTTGGGTCCTACTTGGTTATTGATACATATCCACGTGTGCAGAGCATATCCAGCTTTTTATTTTTTTTGGTCTTTTAGGAATATTTGTTATAGGGAGGGGGGTGCCAAGCATATCCATCTTTTTTATCTCCTTATCCTCTTGGAGATCATCGGTGACAAATAAGAAACCAAATTAATTAAAAGGAAAGAAAAAAATTTATGCTTCCAAGTTCCAACCATAATGCCTTTTGCTGTAGCTGGGATATGCGATTACGATCGGCCCTATCTTCACAATGGAAATTTGGAATGGACCCAACCAGGCGTTAGGCGGCAGGCGCCAAACGCCAAAACCATCAAACTCGTAGGAGAGGGGAGCCTGGCCAATGGGCAAATAGAGAAGACGAACAAATGAAAGGGTAAAAGTCTGTTCGATTGACCGGCGACAGCAACAGTTGGTGATGAAGACCCAAATTAAACCATTATCAATTATTATACCTCAGGCTCTGTGTTTGGCATACAAGCTTTCCTGTCTCGTCCAGGAAGGAAGGCATAAAATGAACAAGAGCCAGCCAGCATGGGTCATGGATATCACTTAATTAAAACGTAAAAAAGGGTTGAACTTAAACCGTGTATATATGCTAAATTTGCTGTAATTCAGTGACGAAGGAGAGGTCAGTTGCAGCTGCAGTTGAGATATGGTCACTCACCATCAGTCCCAAATTGGAGGTTCCTTTTGTGGTGTGGCCAGTGGGTCTCAACGGGAGAGAAAGAGAAAGAGAAAGGATAAAATTCGCTTTGAAGAGAGTGGAGAGATGATTCTTCTATTGTGGATGGAGACGTGGTGATGCTGGTCGTCCAACGAATATACTTTCTTTGATTCTCAAACAAAATTTGGGGCTACGCAAACTTGTTACAAGTTGTTACTGTTGCCGACCTAATACTTATAAACGGGCCAACCCAATTAAACACAAGTCTCTCTGGCCAAGTCTAAACTAAAAGATCGCGCGTGGTCCTCTTGGTCTTTGAACGAGTAAAGACCAAGAAGGCGTTGAAATCTTCAAGGCTTTTGATCACAACGAGGAGACTTCTACAAAATAGAATATTCTTTACGCCAACAACAAGGGAAGTTGCAGAGTCTTCTAGCATTCCTAAAGTGAAAATTCAGCGTTTGCTGCTTTGGACCTTTTACATTCAAAATTTCAAATAGGAATATGAAGCTTCTGAATTCATGATGGGCCTATTTGTGTATGACTTTTGAAGAGTATAACGCCACTGTTGCATCAATAAACCGTAATATCAACTAGTGTAAATGCACGTACTGTGCTATGCATATGTACAATTAAGGCCTTATTTGGATTTTTTTGAAAGTTATTTATTGGGGTAAATGTGTTTATTTGGACAAATGTTTTTTTAAATAGTTACCTAGTTAATTACACTTATTATTATTTTTATATTTCTTAAGTAAAATTAATCAATGATTGTTTTATTCGTAAAAGTAATTTTTAAAGGAACAATGTTGTCTTTATCAGGTATTAGTTTTTTTTTTTGTGTGTGTGAAAGGAAAATAATTTCCTTCAATCTAAACGATTTTGATATATTAGTAAAGCACACAACATAATACTTACCCAAATAAATGACCACATTCAAAAATTGTTCTTTTTCCATGGGACTCAATACCAAAAAGAATGCAAATAAATTAGTCAATTCTCGCCCTACCAACTTACCCGCTCCCAAAACAAATGAGGCATATAGGTAAACATGTAATTTAACAAATCAAGTGGTATTTATTGATAACTCAAGAATAACATGATGAAAACTAGTCAAATTCAGTCTGAATTGAACGAAGTCTTTGACTGATTTTTTACCATATTGGTTAACACTCTTGACCAGGTTGGCAAAATTTCTTTGACTCGATCAAGTGTGTCACCCAAGTTGGAATTCAAATAATTTATATTTCTTTTTTTTTTTTTTCATAAGACTAGGCTAATCCCAATACGGGACCGGACCGGATTTAGTAGGTACAACATAAGTAAGCATGTTAAATGAACACTTAATAAATATTTTGACAACTGTCAAAAATTGGTTTTATTCTTTTTCAGAGATGGGCTGAGGATATGGTTCAAAGTATCGATACACTTATGCGTATCGGTACTTAGATACACATGGAAAAAGGTTTTTTTTTTCAAATTTTGATTTTTAGAGAGTTAAAAAAGGGTAGGGTAAATAGGTGTTTTGGAACCTAAAAGATACGATATGATACACCCAATATGGAACGTATTATATTGATTTTTTGAACCTTGGTTAAGAATAATTTAAGAGACAGATGTCAAAAAATTTCAACTGCTCATTGAACGTACTTGCAATGTTATACCTACCTGATCCTAACAGATCACAATACACCGGATAGGCTCTCTCTACATCAACAGATGGGTGGTTCAATTGGAACATTTATTGGCTCTTT